ATATATATAAAATTGTTACCCTTATATTTCAAACTTGATTGAGTATTTAGTGACAGTTAGAAGCCCAGCGCTTTCTTCAGGCAAACTCTCTCTACTCCGACAACGCTTAGATTGTAGAAAAGCTACAAATCAAATTTGGTTAAGAAACCCTCAAAATTTGAAGTTTGTACTATCAAACTACTTTAGAAGGTTAATTTGAACTCCTTATACTATTGGATAGGTATGTTTTCTTGTTGAGGTATAGGTGCCATATCTCCTTAGATGTAGAAGCTTAAAGAAGTGATTGCATTATAAGTTGAACTGCTCCAAGTCTTGCATCAACATAAAATCTTGCAAAAAATCTCTCAATTTCAGTAATTCTACAAGATAAAGTATTTAACATATTCATAATAGCTTCTAATTTGGACTTAGTAATTTCAACCATACTAACATCTTCTTGTCTAATCATCCTACAAGAAAAAAAAAAAAAAAAAAAAAAAAAAAAAATCTAAACAATATCAGTTTAAAGGGAGATAATCTCCAACTTCTAAAGTACTCAGATGCATTCAAGAAGAAGAATAATCTACTCTTTGTTAAGAAGGATCAAGCTCTAATATTCATAAGAGGATAGTCTTGACAAACTATCATAGATATACTATACAAAAGATTGAACAAGAAATTAAACAGAAGAATTTTAACAAGAAATCTAGCATGAATTTGGACTAAACCAAATGAATATAAGATCAACACCAACTGAGGTGAGTTAGAGCTTGAAGAGACATATTATCAAGATTGAGAATTCCCTCAGCCTTGGCTCCAATATTTATTAGATATTAGAAAGTTTTTTGAGAAGTTCTCATATTACTTGGAAACAAAGCAACCTTAAGATCCTAATTGGACAACTTCCTTAATCCTCCTAAAAATTTTTAGAATCTCCTAAAATAATCTAAAAATCTTTTTAGAATCTTCTATTGAAATATTTTAAGAACCTTTTAGAATCTTCTATAGAAATATTCTAAAAAAAGAATTGAAACTTTTAAAAATCTAATAGAATATTTCTTAATTTTTTTTATTAGATGTCTATAATATTATATTATTATTTTAAAAATTAATAATAATATATTATTAAATAAATATTATAAAAATATTATTAGAATTACATGAAGTTATATTGCTATCATTAAATAACTTTATTATCAATAATATGTATATATTTTTTAAATTATATATAAAAGATGCATTAGAAAAAATTAGATATCTTTGTACATCAAATACTTGATAATTTACTATAGAAAAAATAAACACATTGTTAATAGATAAAATATTGATATATATTCAATTAGCATAAAATATAACTAAGTTTTTTGCTAAGTAAGAATCATCAAATATTTTTATAAACAAACTATCTCTTTTTACTCTAATACAACTTGTTAAATTAAACATGTGTTAATTTGTCAAAATCTAAAAGTTGCACTTACCATTGACTTCAAAATTTCTTTACTAATACTAATCTTTAATTGCTTAGCCAAAAAAAATTAAATTTTTTGTGCTTATCGTAATAAATCAATGCTTCACACTATTGTTGATAATTTAAACATTGCAACTTTGAAATTTGAACAAGCTTAGATAATAACTGAAAATTGATTTCTTTTGCCAATATAATTTTGTGGTAGTCTTGCTTTTGTCTATCAAAATATCTTAATAATTAAAAGAAAATTCTCTATTTTTAGGTATAAAAAAGAATATATTTTAAAAAAATTAATGAATTTTTAACTAAAAGGCATTATGCATATAAAAGAGTTTAAAGCATTGTAAAAGCTTTCTATTATTTAAATATGAAGCAATTGCCCTCATTTTGTAATTTTATAAAACAAGGTTGTTGTTATTGTATATTCTAAAGGATAAAAATGATATCTTAGAGATTTTTTTATTTTATAATTTTTAAAAATAAAGAAGCTTGCTTATGATACTTAAAAGGCTTCTAAAAGTTTTTGTTGTATTATTTAGCATATGTAAATCCTAATTATATATATAAAAAAATTAAATAAATTATAATCTTACTTTGAAATACATTCATTATTTTACATTATAGAAATAATCATCTTACAAATCTCACATCCTACAAATGTATTTCTTTATATAGATAAAAATGTATTTTATTTTATTCAAATCTTAAAAAAATTACTTTTCCATTTGTTTTATGAGCCTCCTTTTCAATTAATGTGTTGTTTAATTAAAATTACAAAAGTGCAGTTCAAGACGCATTTAGGGTTGAATAAATTATTTTTTATTTTACATATTGAAAAACCCAAAACTCAAAGTTTTATGTTCAATCCGAGGTCTCAGATTATATGTAGCCCATAGTAACAAACAAAGGCAAACACTTGTTGAGAAATGGTTTGTTTAATTTGAACAAACATAGACTATATCTTTTTTGATCAAAAGGGGTGTGGTAAGGAGAGAAGCACATTCTGAATTCCCTTCACTTTACTTTGAAAAGGAATGTGGGTCCCTGACGAGGTTTATCATTTTATGCACCAAACTTGGACGAGCAGTACAAATTTATAATGCTGTACATGTAGGAAAAGTTGCCACTTTGCCTCAGGGGTGGGTCCACGTCGGCACATTATTCACCCCTTTTAGTTGATCCGAAACTTCTATGTCTCCAATGTGTGACATCCACGTCAGATAATGACACTAAGAATACAAGGAACCTTACTTTGTGCAGTTGGAAGAGCACGACTAGGGGATGGTCCTTTTTTGTAATGATTCCTTTCATGCATTCCTGTATGTATGTATATGTATGTATATATATATATATATATATATATATATATTATTTATATTTATATTTATATTACATGTTTGTTGTTCAGATGTCTTCCTTTGATTGACATAGCTAATAATTTATTCAAAAAATCACATTACATTATTCTTTGAGATCATTCAATCTTCTTTCTCCAAAAACTAATAAATGTGAATATTAAAAAGTTGAAGAAAATATGGTGGGGATAATGAAACCCATGATTTTAAAATATGAAATAACACAAAATCTCAGAACCATTGTAATTTCCTACTTGCCAATACAATGACTAACCTCTCCTCCAAACTCATTAGCTTTTATACTTTTTATGTACCACAGCCAGTAACAAAATTTTATTTGATATTATAATAACCTTAGGAAATATGTCTTTTTCCTTTTTACATTACTTTTTGCATTGATTTATGAAGAAATAAATAAAAAAAAATGCTGTGGCAAAAAGGCTACCACTAGTGTGAACATTTCCAAACACAGCATCATATGAAAATCACATTGCAAACTGTTTGCCTTCAGAAAATTTTCAATTATCAAATGATATATACATATATTAAAATTAATCAACAGTCATATCTTAATAAATTATATGATTATACTATACTTAAATTATATTTAAATTATATTACAGCTTTAAATATATAAATGTATAAATATATATATTTAAATTATATTGCAGCTTTATATATATATATTTAAATTCTGAATGTAAAGCTGTATTTTTCAATATACCAAATCATGCAATTTTAGAGGAGTTTGAACTTTTATTTTTGTAAGTGGACTAAAAATAGAATAATGGATGAGTGAAAGTTTCATGGAGTAGAAAGCCCAATGAGAAAGTTCCACTACAAAATTCACAAAAGAATAAAACTTTTTAACAGAATACAAGGAAGTTAAAACCTATTGTTTGGGAAAATAATTGAAAACATAAAAAGAGAATTCAAAAATCATTGATTCTACCTAAAGTTATTTTGTTGAGTTGTCTAATTTTATTTTTAATACTGTAAAAAATTGTGGATAAAGTAAAAGGTGATGAAGACAAGTGTATGTTGTTATTGAATGAATGATTTTTATTTATTTATTATTTTACTTTTTAATTTTTTTTCCTTTTTTTTCCCCCAAATCATGATATATCCAATACTTTGGATCAATTAGAAGAAAAAACAAATGTACAAAACAACTTAAGACCTTACATTTAGATCAAAGGCAAAACCAAGAGCAAAGAAGATCTATTAACTCTAGTAAATCTACATTAAAAATACTACTATGTCAACTAAAGGTGCACTCTCATGCACAATTAACCCACATTATGAAGCTCTTTAATTCTATCAAATATTCATGCCAACCCTCACTCTATGATATTCTAAACCATCTATTTCTATGTTCCATAAATGTTGATTTAACATTTGATTGTTTTTTCATTCTATTGCATTTTTTCTTCAATTAGATTTTCTCATGTTCAATAAAATTGTCCTATACCAATTTCTATTATTGTCCTATATTGTGTGGATGTCATTGTATAAGTAAGCTTCAAAATTATGCATAAAGACAGACCATGTAGAAGCAACCAAATTTTTAAAAATAAATTATAATTTAGTAAATTTTTGCATATAAAATTGATTAGTGTCCACAAAATATCACAAAAAAAAAAAAAAAAAAAAAAAAAAAAAAATCACTAAAAATCACAAAAAGAATCATTATTTAGGTATAAGATAAAGACTCAAAAAAGTCTTCTCATTGGCCAATCAAGGGAATGAATACATGGCTGTACTAGCAAATTGCAAGTTTGTACTAGTCCTTATATATAAATAAAGGGAATGCTAAGTAGACCCAAGTTTTTTCTAAATCAATCCACACATCTTAACCATCATGAAAAAAATAATAATGATTTCTAGATTCATTTCCTCATTATTGGATTACCATATTCTTCATTAAGAGTGGGTCTACTTAGTAAAAGCATGGGTGTATTTAAATTCCCCCCAAAACAAAGAACATAAACAGTAGTCCACAACAACTCAATTCATATTTAATCACTTGCCTTCTTCCAAATTTTTTCGGATGCATTTGGACTCGACGCTGACACGGAGAAAAAACAAGGTAACCGGAAGGCACGGGCGATAGGGGTTCCTGTTATTATCGTCATCCGAGACAAAATAAATGCTCATGTGACGCAGAGAAACACACTCCTTTTGCTGTTTTTCAACCCCACTTTTCACAATTTCGCAGTCGCGTCAACGTACTTTTCCCCTCCCCCCAGACCCGACTCGATTCATTGCCGTTGCACTAACAACCATTGGGAACTCCATGTGCCCAACCCACCAGCAATAGTTTCGTCGCCAGCGTTCACCAAATTTCTCTCTCGCAAATTCACGGCACCGTGTTACCGAAATTAGACTTGAAGCCTGAGCGAAATTCCACGTCGCTGAGGTCAAGCGACCGTCGTCACCGCCATGAACCGGGGGGATCGAAAGCTGCTTCTGGATATGGAGATGCCGCAGCAAGGTGGCGGAGTCGTCGTCATGATGCTGGCAAGTGGAAGTCGGGAGAGAAATCGGGGTTGATCCACGATAGGTGCCATGTTTCGTCGTGAGCATGCTAGGATGTAGTCTTGATATAGATGAATTGTTCATGGGCCAGTCGGAGTAGGGTGTTTGGACTTTGAAGGACCCGGTGACCACGTCCCAGGTACGCCCCGCGGCCATTCATGACACACAATCTTGGGGAGGGAGGCGTGGCGTTGGAGATGTTAGGGGTGATCGGAGCTTAGTCTGCAGGGGTTGATTTCTGCGCTTATCTTTGCGTAAAGGAGGTGTGACTTTTGGACCTTGGTTGGCGATGTGGTGGAGGTTGTGTCAGAGTGGTGGTGCCGTTGCGAGATTGATCGGTGGTGGCGTTATTATTTGGGTGAAAGGAGGCCGTTTGCGAGAGGTTTAAAGTTGGGCTACTAATTGTTTTTAAAGCCCTTTCGAGAGAATTGCGTTCGCTAGAGTCAGGTATGGAGTCTTGCAAATCTTGAAGAATGGGTTGGTTTATCTTGTTGAGAGTTGCTACTGGTAGCATGGAATGACGTTTCTTTTCCAAGTTGAAGTGGGTTAATCGCGGGTTGCCCTTCCATGGGCTGCTCGGTGCGAGAGTTTAGCGCTGTTGATCATGTGTTTGTGGAGATCGATTCTTTCATTCCACGCTAAATGTAGTGGGAGAAGGCCGGCTAGAGTAGCCATTACTGTTAAAGTTACGTTTAAGATCATTGCCTTCAGAGAATTCTTAACTATCCGAAGGTAGACCAAAGGTAGAATCGCCGGGCAAGAAGTGGAGGTCGGTTTGTGGCTGAGACCTTCATTTGATGGTGCTTGTCTGATTTGGAATGAGGGTACTTTCGTTTCTTTGGGGTTTGGAGCTTGGGCTACTTCTTGGTGCGCATTCATGTTACGGCAGAGAACTTTACTAATCTGCAATTTTTTGAAGTTTGGTATAAACACGAATGTTAAATTGACTTGGCTCGTTTTCAGTACAAGCTTGTTACACTAGATTCAAGTCCACAAAAGCAGCCCCCACTTGAACAAAACACAAGTAGCAGCGACGTGAAGTTCTCGTTATCAACTATGTATGTAGTTTATGTCAACCCAATTCCTCTGATTGCAGTGGGATGATATGTATATATCAAGTTTTAGCCACAAAGTAGTCTACTTCAATCGGTCCGCACTGCTCCCCTCGTGCTCTCTCGAATGCATTACCTAGAGTTCGTTAGATACACCTTCGATGTTCATCTAACGCTCCCCTTGACACTTCTTGCACAGATTCGAGCACTGTAGAGACTTTTCACCATGCATAAAGTGTCTCCTCCACCTGATGGCTCATACTCTTCGTATGTTGCTACCCCGGCGAAGAGGCACAAGAGATGTTGGCCTATCTTCACCCTCGGGGCTGTGGTGGCAAACATCATTGTTCTTGTTGTTGTTATGTATGAAAACAATTGTCCTGCAAATATTGGCTATGGCCGGAAGTGTGTGCTGGGCTCTTCATTCAAGAGGATGTCGTTCCAGCCATGGAGCGAGAATCCTCTACTGGGACCCTCATCCGCGACGCTTCAGAAAATGGGCGGCCTGAGGACGGATCTGGTAGTAGACCAGAAACAAGGGTGGCGGTTGATGTCGTGTGTGTGGCTTCATGCCGGAGTCTTCCACCTTCTTGTTAACATGATTGCCCTCTTGGTCTTCGGCATAGAGCTCGAGAGGGACTTCGGGTTCATCAGGATTGGTCTACTCTACCTCATTTCTGGCCTTGGTGGCAGTCTTCTCTCTTCCCTGTTCAACCACAACGCCATCTCCGTCGGTGCATCTGGTGCCCTCTTCGGCCTCTTGGGGGCAACGACCTCTGAACTTATCACCAATTGGTCTCGCTACAGGAGTCGATGCTCTCAACTCTTCCAGCTCATCATCGTAACAGGCGTTAATCTCGCCATCGGTCTCCTCCCTCGTGTCGACAATTTCGCACACATTGGAGGCTTTGTCACCGGATTCCTGTTGGGCTTTATCCTTCTGATGAAGGAACAGTATCGCTACGTACAGCGTAGCACCCTTCTTGACCCTCGAATGGATCCACAACATGTTAAGCGATTTAAGACTTACCAATTTATCCTCCTCTTAGTCTCCCTCCTCCTTCTGATCGCTGGATTCGCTGGTGGATTCGTTGCTCTTTACAGCGGCGTCGACGCATACAATAGATGTAGCTGGTGTCATTATCTCAATTGTGTCCCATCCTCTCACTGGACTTGCGACAGTCAGTCAGGTTAAGTGTGCTTTCAAGTTGTATTCGCCCTTCCAGCTCCTTTGTTACCTTTTGCAATCACCAACGGGTGGGTGGTAACCAGCGTCGATGGTGTAAGTGCTAATTTGCAAATAGTATGGAATAATCACGCTCAAGAGGGAACGGTACAAAGGAGTTGCGATTGGTCTTTCGGACGGCAAGCGACTTGCTTTAGGTGAAGGGCAAACGTGTCCATCCACAGAGTTTAATGCACTTGAATTGTGGAGAAAATAACGAAAGGGTTAATTGTATTCTACATACACAATCAAGTTGGCAATGTCGAAAATGCCCACTATTTGTGATGCCTCTTACCGGCATGGGATTCAACCTGGTGTGCGGATATGGCTCATGTATTTGGTGAATTGCCCGTGATTATCCTATCGAGGCAAACTGAACCCAATGGATTCAACGTGAAGTATTCAAGTGAATTGTCCAACATTGTGATTTCTCATGACATGAGTTTGGCCACATCTAGACTAGTAGATTTGAAGTAGTAATTTTTAATTTTTGGTGTACAGATCTGGATAATAGTTATTAAAAAAAAAATCGTCCAAGTTGCCATTCTCAATTGTCTCATTTGTTTCTTTTAAGATTAATCTTCACTTCATACTTTGCGGCATTTTTCTATAAATACGGTCTGTCCAGGGTGCATTGAAAACTTTCGAGGTATTCAAACACGTTCGTTCTCTGCTCATGAAGTTTCTTGCCGCAATACACCCTCCGTGACGGTTCATGTTGCTCCTAAACGGATGTCTTGAGATCTATTTTGATGAATATTATTATAAAACCTGCGACATGTAGAAATTTAAGATGAATTCTCAGAGAAAAGGTAATCGACAACAGGCACCACCAAGTTGACTCTGACGCACATAGGAAATATGAACTGGCAGATTTCGTAGAGGAGATGCTATGTTCCTGCAAGCATTAATCTTCGTGCCCACTTCCCGTTTGCTGAATTCGCCCAGCAAAATCTCACAGCCGCATGAGCACACTACTTAAATCTCTTTGTCGCATATCCTTTTGTGTGATCTATGTCGTAATCTCCAGCCCTCTCTCCCACATTCTGGAAAACATTCCTTATAGGGACAGATATTTGACAAAATGGGATGTTAAGTTTGTTTTCTACGTTTCTTGCTTTAGAAAGAGATTATGTCAATGCTGCGGGGGCTATGTGATTCTTCTGGAACGTTGAATTCGGCCTTGGTCTTGGGGAAATTTGAGTAGATCCAATTCAAATTCTTTTCCTCTGCACAAATAAGTGGTGGTTGGTACCCAAGACATACTTATTTTTCTGCGGTTTTTTGAAATCGAACAGAGTTTCAAATTCTTGCACGCAATTTGGGCATTTCAATCAGTTTATCTGCATCTAAACGTCGGATTCTTCCTGTAGATCAGTGCGAGTGCTCTGTGGGCTACTGTCTCCATCACTGTCAGATACTTGGCATCCCCTCGGCTGCCGATATACATGTTGGACACAGTTTTCAACAAATTCATTTGCAACTGGCTTCACTTAGTCGTTGATCAATGACATAGTGGATTTTCAAACCCACTTAGAAAGCTCTTGGGCACCTCTTTGCCTTGCTAATGTGCGATGGAAAAGGAGATGCGTTGTTATCCGGTAGATGATTCAGATTCCACTGGATTCTTGCTCTTGTTGATCATTTCGTGACATAACGCATTTATGTTGCTGGAATCCGTGTCAATGAAAGCGACCTTGATTTCTTCCGCTGTTTTGCTTCAATTGTGTCTGTTTAGTAGATCGATCCACATACTTTGGACCTTAAACTATTGCAGTGGAAGAAAGATCGCTGTGGCAACGACATCGATGAGTTTCACCATGCAATCACGGGATGCGCTTTCAGTACACGAGATTGTCTTCATGGCGTTGGATTTTCGCGGAGCCTGCGAACCGGGATTTTAGGTAGATCCGGAAAAGTACTTAGCTGAAGTAACGACAAGAAAAAGAGTGGGATAGAATTACTCATGCAACTGCTTGAATACATTTAAGACTCATGGAGTGCAGGACAGTTAGCTTATCACAGGCAATAAAAGCTCCGAGGGCGCCCACAGACAAGTGCATCAAGAAACTGACGAGATTTGCCGAGACATTACTTTGACTACAGCAGCTTCTTCCAATGCCGAGAATGGAAATAAGCGAAGCTGCGAGGAGGAATTTTCCAATCAAATACCTCGTAAACCATTGCTCCGGAAAAATCTCAAGGATCCGGTAGAAGAATGTCAATTTCTTTTGCAGAAACTGAACGAAGAACAAAAAGATTTGGTGAATACTGAAAAGTATTTAATGCTTCGAGCCAACTTCTGGGCGCATTATTGTATATAATAATGGGTAAGACTTATTCACAACTTTGCTTTCAATAGATATTCCTGCAAGAGGGCACTTCCGTAGCGGCTCTGTTGGCATATACCCGAGAGAAAACGCCTTCAAGTCACAAAGAATACCTGACGGAAGCGGTACTGTCGTACTGTCATCCCCATTCTGTTTGAATATCGCGACCTTTTCCTCATTTACTCATACTCCATACCGATAAACTACAAGTCTAGTTCGAGTTTCTCATAGAGGTGATTCAATCAATTTATTTACCAGCCCTCCGAATTAGTAGTTGATACAAATAGATAGCTTCATGCGGTGTGTTGGCTACAAAGTTATTGCTAGTAGACGCTCCCGCCTCACACCACAGCCAAGCGTTGTGGATTTCAGAGTTCACAACTGAGTGCATCACCTGCTCTAAGAAATACTTACAATCTCCCCGAAATAAACTGACGGATTCTTCAATGGTGTTGCTTCCATGGCCTTAGGGTTTCCTCCAAACCACCACGTGGTATTTTCCTTTGGACAAAGTCACTGCTCACCATGCTTTGCTGCATCCGGATCAGTGCACGTGAATCATTTCCCCGTTGAAAACGTCCTGCGTCAAGAATCATGAGCATAGCATCGATTCACTACCACTTACCATTCTTTCAGATAATTGCGTGTGCTTAAGATAACAAGAGTTGATCGAGCATTCCAACAAAAAGGTCATGAACACCGAGAATTTGAATAAATCTGTGCATGAGGATTTGCTCTTTCGAGAAAGGGAAACGGCACTTCATCATTGTATGCACCGCGGATATGTCAAAGTTCATGGAAGTCAACGCCCCGCTGAGATTGGAAACACATTCTAAACACAAGCGTGAATTGAACCATATAGGAAATGATCCTCCAAGGGAGCAGATGACCGGTAATTTGTAAAGAGAATTCACCAGGCACCGGAAGTCAATGCACACGCATCAGGGAATTCGGTTTTACTTCCGACGCTTCCATCGGTAGCGGCGAAACAATGTCGATGATTTGCTCGGGCGTCTTAAATTAGACTTTGGCTCGAAATCTTTGGTATGATGGATTCGCTGTAGATGCGAAGATGCCGACACTTCACTTCATTCCGGCAAGCCATTTTTCGGCATTGATGCGTTGTTTCGGCATCAGAATTGTGTATTTATACTTTGCTTGAAAGATACGGTCGGTCAGGATCCGTTGAATACTGGGGGCATGCAAGTGGGGGTCCCGCAGGGTAGGCCACTACGCTACCGTTTTTTCTTCTCCGCTAGTGCGCGGGGAAGCGTGAAGGTTTCAAGTCTTTCTGCGTGGTTGCTCTAGCAGAAGGTAGGTTACTTTCCATAGTTCCCCTGCCCGGGGCACCAGCGACACTATTTTAAGGCCTTCATCTACCACATGCTAGCTCGATGACTTAGGTGGTAGCTTCTCCACTTCGAGGTTGTTTCGTAGCTTGGTGCGGAGGGAGTGTATGATTTTACTCGTATTCTTGGGAGGTGAGTGAGGATTTTAGCGGCATGGGCGTGTTGTTGCGATCTCTATGAGCTTCGGTCTGCAGGCCATCGGGCCAAGGTTTAAAACGATAAGGATGAGATTGAAGCTAGTGGTGAGAGTTTTGAGGGAGCTTGAATAGGTTGTGGTGGGTGTGGGGCGGAAGGAGGGGTTACACTAGAGGTCTTGAACTCGAGGATAGTATGAAGTTGGGTTGCCGACCAAGTTTGGCTTGAGCAGCACATGAAACCCTTTTAGGAGTTTCGGGGACTTCTTGGGAAAAAGGTGAGAAGATCGCCGCTGTGAGGAGAAGGTGTGGTATTGTACGATCGAGGCTTCTTGAGGGGCAGTCACGATGAACAATTTTCTGAACAACCCGCTCGGGAAGGCCAAGAACTATGTTGATCTCAAGAAGGACGCCCGCAGGGGTGACATTGAGATGGGGGACACGGCGGGGTCCGGGGGTGAGTCCGAGGTTGACATGACACAGTTCTTTGAAGAAGTGGGAGTGATTAAGAGCGAGATGGACAAAATCAAGCAATTGCTGGAAAAAGTGAAGGCTGCTAACGAAGAAAGCAGGATAGTGCACAAGGCACAGGCCATGAAAGCTTTGCGGTCCCGTATGGACGCAGACATCGCGCAAGTGACTAAGATTGCCAAATCTATCAAGCTGAAGCTCGAGGACCTTGACAGAGCTAACGCCGCAAACAGGAGAGTGAGAGGGTGCGAGGAGGGAACACCTACGGACAGGACCCGAACATCCATCACGGGCACGCTGAGAAAGAAGCTTAAGGATCTCATGGGGGAATTTCAAACCCTTAGGCAGAAAATGATGGAAGAATATAAGGAGACTGTGGAACGGAGGTGAGCATTACTTTCATTGTTTCTTTTACCTGCTACAAGAGTGTCTTGTATGTTGTCTTCAACGTATGGTTTTAGTCCTAGGGTTGTTGGGAGCATTCTAATTAGCTGTTTGTGCTTGTTTAGCCTTCCTTCGTCAACCCATCGATTATTCACAAGTTATGAACATAGTATCACATGCCTTTCATTTAATTGAAGCTAAGTGGACTCAATATCCACAATAAGTGGCGCAGCTTGTGAGTTGTATTGGTGATACTATGCATTGTTCGAATTTGTTAAAGTAGGGGTCGTGGATTGGTCTTAAGTCTTACCGTTGAACTCAGTATTGAAATCAAGTCCTTTGCTTAGGCAGAAAAAACTGTGCTTGTAGAGTTTGCTCACAATTCCGCCTAAAATATCTTGTTCAAAACAGACCAAGACTTTGTTAGATTAAATTGATGCATTAAGTCTTGATTCTACTAACAATCAAGACTGGAGAAGCTGTTTTCTCGATGAAATGTATGGCCCAGTTAGCTAATCTCCTGCCTATAATGTCTGCCTCACAAGAAGGTTGTTGGGTTTTGTTCAAGAATGCTAATCAAGACTTGCATTTCTCTGGGACAATGCAGATATTACACAGTAACTGGTGAGCATGCGGATGATGACACTATAGAACATATCATTGAAACTGGGAACAGTGAGACGTTTCTTCAAAAGGCAATTCAGGAGCAAGGACGCGGTCAAGTATTGGAGACAATAAAAGAAATTCAAGAACGGCACGATGCCGTAAAGGACATAGAGAGGAACCTAATTGAGTTGCATTCAATTTTTATGGACATGGCAACATTGGTTGAGGCCCAAGGAGAGCAATTGAATAACATTGAATCACACGTGAACAAGGCGTCATCATTTATAGACCGAGGAACGCAGCAACTGAAAATAGCCAAAGACCACCAAAGAAACACCAGGAAGTGGATGTGCATCGGCATTGCGTTGGTCATTATTTTGATCCTGATCATTTTACTTCCGATCTTGAAATCTGTAGGTGCCTTTGACCGCAGTGCACCGCCACCTAAATGAGTTTATCTTACCAGACGTATCAAAATGAATTTTAGAGCTGGAGATTTCTGTCGATGCTTGTCCAGGATCTTGGAAGGCTTTCTCAAGAATCATAGAGCTCAAAGATTACGAGGAAAGTGAAGTTAGAGGCCTCATTGCAGTAGAAGAAAGAGCTCAAGGACCCAGTTATGTTTGTACGATATTGCTGTGATCATATATATAGTTCACTTAGCCTCTTTTTTGATTGCCTTGTACTCACTAACCTACACGCATGTAATGAAAGCGTGTTGATACCGGAACCAGTAAGTAAAGTAGCATCTGCGTAACGTGAATGCTAGTTACATTTGACGAAAATGTTTGACCAGGTTTGTAAAACTATTGTGTTTGCATATAAGGTTGTACCGTTGTGTTTAATCTGTACCTCTCACGGATTGAGAGTGGTAATGCAAACATTGTGTACCCATGTTTCTAAACTTCGTTTCTCAGGCTGACAGATCTATGCTGTCGAAATTTGTGTACATACAAATCAACAAGTAGCTAACCCTGTTTAGGTGTTGCGTTCTGCAATTTTGGCTAACAATAGTTTTATTTTTTATTTTTTATCAAGCAAGCAATTTTAGCTTCCGACTTATGTATTCTGTTGAAAAGAGGAAAATATTCCACCATTTTTATCGTGTTACTTTTGCATGCGTCTGAAACAAAGTCTGCTCCCCGCACTAGACATCTCGGTATCTTAATTTCAGAAGGAGATTAGCAACAATAATGATATCACAATAGTTATCGTTCTTGTTCGAAATTACAACTCAACACTAAAATGACGTGTCCTAAAAAATCTGTATAACCTACTACAATAAGCATACACATGCAAATTTCCTTCTGCACTTCCAGCATGTTGGGGCAGGAAGAGTGCACCACTTCCCAGGCAAATCCCCAGTTTAGACCAGTGATGATAGCGCTTTGCACCTGGAGAGGCGGTTTTAGAAGAATGTCTTGAGTTTAATTTGTGGCAGATTTTGTAATTTCTACGGAGCGCTAAGCGCTTCATTTTAAAGATTTCAGCACCAGAGAGTAGTACATCAATGTAAACACTTAAGGTGAAAAAACGGTTGCATACAAAAACATAAATTATGGCAGAGTCACACTAAGTTCCTGCTCTTTGAACTCCAACTCAAATTTCCTAAATAATTCAAAAGAACACTGTAATACCACACAAGAATTCAATACTATCCAATGATGTAATAAATTAGCATAAATATTTTTAAAATTGACTACTAAACAAGGTCTCAACATTTTGATGCAGAAAGTTCAAAATGTGAATTAAGTGTTAGGTTTTAGGACCTTGAGTTGCCAATAGTAACCATTTGAAGTGCAATTTATGTTTTTTTTTACAAATTTAAATAGCGTAGAAAAATAAAGAACTCACTAGCCATTGCCAATAAGTTCAAACATTTTGTATTTATTTATAGTGTTTTTCTTTTTAACAATTTTTAAAACTTCTAACATATACATTTGGAGATTTCAATAGTATCCAACATATGAATAATATCAACAAAGATTATAAGTAGTAAAAGATACAAATAGGAAATCATAGTGTAAAATATTGAAATATATTACTATATAAGCCATATATATAAGTTGCATTGTAAACAATTTGGCATTTAAATTCAAAGAAATGTCATAATTATTTTTTTATTTCTTAATCTATATCTTAATTTTTAAGCTATTTTTTTATCTTTTTAAATAAAGATAAAAATGAAACTTAGATCATATGATATTGTGAGTAAATAAGCAACTAACAAGAATATATTGTATAGCACAAAAAATAGGAAATATTGGAATCCAAGGATTAATATCATTGCACTTTAGACAAATTTAGCCAAATTCTCTTCTATAAAAATCTAATAAATAGAAGATAATTTTTTTAAGTAATTGCTTGAATTATAAAAAGATTACTATGAAAAATTCAACCAAAAAAACATCAATTAGAACTTGAGGTTCAACAATTTGTCTTCCAAAAGCTTAGAATATTTCATTTAGAAGTATGACCAAAAAAATATTTGTATATTGCCACAAAAAATTTGATATAGTGATAAAAAATGGATTACTCATAAATATTTTTATTTCTGGATTTGATTGTTATTATTTCAAATAAGTAGAAACTAAAGTAAATTATATATCAAAATCTAATGTCTTTAAAAACTTAAAAAATATAAAAAGTTGATCAAATGTCAAGTTGATTATTTCTATGTTTTAAATCCTGAATCCTAAATCATGAAAAAAAAAATGGCAAAAAGAATATTGTTGCATACATTAAATTCTTTCAATCTTTAATCCAATTTATATCCTTAATGCAATAATTTTTTTGTTTTAAGATTATAAGCATTAGTATTACACTACTAGTAGGTTGTAAATAGTTGTCTTGATTTCATAACACTCTTTAACTTTATACAACATGGTATATGTACATTGTTTATCAAAATATATGAATACTTTTTAATATATTAAATCCACACTATTTCTTCCAAAAATATGTGTAAATAATAGGAGTGCAATGAAACATTGTAGAACAATAAGTGATATTAATTAAATTAGAAAATAACAAAGAGATTTAATAGAATATACAAAATTATAGGCATTTTGGTAATTAATATATATATATATATATATATATATATATAAACTTAACTTATAATATTTCCTATAAATATAAAAAATGACATAATTATTGAAAATAATCAATAAACTGATATTTAAATTTTAAATAAAACCATTATAAGATTAATATTTAAAAAATTTTGAAAAAAAGTTAAATGTTCTTGTCTTGGAATTACTAAAAAAACAACCAACGCTATTGAATATTTTGGCAAATTATAAAAGTAATTATTAAACTTCAAGACTACTTTAGAAATTTAACAAATACATTAGAAAATTTGAAGTATTGATATAAAAGATTTAAAAAATAATAATAAATACTTTTCTAAAAAATATTATAAAATGATCTAGTTTAGCTTTTTAAATTAAAATTTGATCAAATAAAAATATAAGTTTATCAATCTTTATCTTATATATTATTATTCTAAAATCAAATAGTAAAATAAAAATATGTTATAAAACTATAGTCAATAACTTGTTGTCATGGAAAGAAGTTATATTATTTATAATACATCATTAGATGTATATTGCTAATAATAAAAAAGACAAATAATTTAATACAAATCTAAAGTATATCTTTTCATGGAAGATTTAAGTATTATTATCCATTTATCAAATCATCAAAGTTCTAATACTTCATAAAAATTAATACACAAACCACTAAATCAATATTAAAATATTTTGAGCTAATATTAAAGTTTCTTAATAAATTAAGGATTTTAGTTTATAAGTTGAAGTAATCAAACTATTTTTTTAAAGCTATGATCAAATCTTTGACCAAAATATATGAATAATCTTTTTTAAGATTAAAATAAAAAATACATAATTTATATGAATTCTAGAATTTTATATATTTGACTACCAATTCTACACTTAACATCTACATATATAAACAAGTAGTTATTCATCAATAACTACTTTATATACTAAAATTAAACATGATAAAGCATTATGGTATTTCAAATAATTAAAGCATATTAAATATTAAACCATTAGATCCAAATTCAATCTCTCTTCTCGCTCTGAATATCAAAATCCTTGCCCACCAATGCACCAACGTCAAGTTGAGACGGATCTGAGGCAATGGAAACAGGCGCTACCGCTGCCAAGAGAGACACCAATATGCAAGACTCAGCAGGTTAGGAACACTTGTTAAGGTGACCCACATGCGATTTCTACAAACCACGGTATGAATGAAACTAGGAGAGTGGACAAAAGTGCTAGTGCGATGCAAGACAAGGCTTCTGCAAGAGAAAATCGAGGCACAGATCCGGCAGAAGAAGCACCAACGATCCAAACTAAGGTGGTTTTGTGACATTTCTATGGCGCTGGGACAGTAGCATCATTGCCTTCTCCAGCATCATTTTAAGGTAGCTGACCCGTTGTCCGCCACCCCCCATTACCGATACGTAGGGTGTTCATATTTCGTCTAGGTCGACTACGTATTGTCCATCAAGTCTAACATTGTGTTGTCAACAATACGTCAGGTCCTAGCGGAAATGGGTTGAATTCTTCTCACAATGGATTTCTGGTCACTAGCAAAAAGTAGTTTTTGCATTAATTGATATATGGGTGAGTACGGCCGTTGTTTAAGGATTGGAGGTTACTTTGTTTAGGTTCATGCTGTGGTTGGTGTGCAAGCTTCTTCATAACTACATCGGCCACATGGCAAAAAACCATACAAAAGTGGTTGTGAACTAGATGAGGTGATTTGTGTTGCTTCTCCACAATTGGAGTTTACAACCATCGTATCTAGTGTGAGGCAAGTGCGGCAATAAGTTGGTGAATTCTAGATTTTGAAGTGCTCTGGTGTGGCAAATTGGAAGGTGCGGAGAGGCAGCAACTTACTATACTATTTGCATTGCATCAAGAGAGTGGGTGGTGTTTATGAACTGTTTGGAATTTTTTGAGTAACACTATCTACATTGAATTGTGTGAGTCAAGAGGAAGTGGATGGTTCTTTTTCAAATGTTTGGAATTTTTTGAACTCTCACTCAATTTCAATGTTATATTGTCTTCATTCCTTTGTGGTTATAGTTATTTTAACTCTGTATCGACCTCATCAGTTTTTTTTTTTCATTATTACATTTTCAAAAGGCTACAACACCTATGATTCTCTTTTGAAGGGATCTAACTCTCTCTCTGTTTCTTCTTTTGGCTCTCTTTGGCTTTGATTTTTGTATATATGTTTCTAAAGTCTGGTTGGAATTTGTTGTTGGCTTTTGTTTTGTTTTGTTTATTTGTTTGTTTGTTTTTTTTGTTTTTTTTTAAAATCTATTACAAAGAAGGGTATATATTTATCTTGGGATTGGAATGAAGATAGAAACCTCGTTGTCTTATGAAGTGAAATCATCTTAGCCAATGGGAGTTGGCAATATTCTAGACTAGATGGCATGATGTGGTAATACCAAAAAAAGATATCTAAAAGAAAAGAGAGGTTTAGCCTTACAAAACTTAGATCTATGAAGTTGTGTGGTGTTGGGGTCTATTTTTTTGTGGCTACCATCATGATTTTATTCATCCAAACTTAAATTGTCATTGTAAATGAAAAAACTATAGACGAGTTGTTTGTTGGAAAATATTTAGAAGTTATTTTTGAAGTTTCTTTGTTTGATTAATCTACGATTCATTATATTTACCTACCAAAATTTGCTCTTGAAATCCTCCAATCAACCAAAGCAGATTAAGGGGCCTTGATTCAATGAGAGTCACTCCAAATATTAGTTTTTGTTAATATAAGGTGTAAGTGAGCCATTTCTATT